TCTAAGCATGGAAACATTATCATGGAATACCAAAGCTGCTCCGACACCACTTTCCATTTTGGAGCCGTCGGTGTATATTTCCGTGAAATTCTGAAAATTGAAGATAAGCATTTCACTTAGCTCTTTATTGATGAGGTTGTTTGGTGCCCAAGGGGRTGTTTGGGGGATTTCGTTTTTGATAACGTCCAGATGTGAGAATGGGATGTCCTTTAGAGAGWCGGATATTTGTTGCATTACCTTGAGGTTGTTTTGGGTGCGTCTGGTTGCAAGTAGTAGGGAGCTGTGAACTCTCCTGATGACGAGTGGGGCTACTCCTGCTGTATTAAGCACGCTGGGAATCGGGCTGGATCGAAATGCTCCAGTGACAAGTCTTAACCCCATGTTGTGAACAGTATCAATCATATTAAGTGCTTAAGTCTTAGCTTTTATGAATAAGAATGAATTATATTCGAGCTTAGAAAGGATGAGTGCCTTATATATTTGTAAGAGAGTTGGAATATTATTTTGTAGTTTAAAATGTATACAAATATGTCCAAATTCAAAAGCTAAGTACCAATAATTTAATTATTTTAAAAAAGATTAGTACTTCATATTGTAACCAATAAAACTAAAAATATATATTAACATATTTTTTTTTTTTTTAAAATAGATATTATAAGTTCAAAAAGACGACATTAGATATTTAAATAAGTATTCAATTTATATATTAAAAACATAAGCTACAAAAAAATTAATTAATAGTTTTTAAAATTATATCTAAATTAATAAWTTTTTTTTTCAATTTATCTAACTTCAGCAGTACATTGAGGATTCTATTATTTACAATATGAACAGCCATTGTAGCTATAAGTCATTGAGGCTATAGAGTTGGAGTAACATGATAATTAGTAATTACATAATTTATAAATATTAATGTTTTAAATTTACCTAAATTTTAAACATTATATTAGTCTTAATTTAACTACCTATATTAAAAAAGATCTAAAATGTTGCAGTTGTTATATTATACATATTATAGTTTATGATATTAATTTTAAAGTTTGAACTGTTAATAACTATTTTATTCATACATTTATTTTTTTAAAGCCTTATTATTATTTATTATTCGCAGTATTAAACTCATCTATCCTACCAAAGGTTTTATAATTAGAAAATATATTATTACATTAGCAAAAACTATGATTTTTCATTATCATTTCTATTTGAGTGCCCATTTACGTTTGAGTACCCATTTACGTTATATAAATTTTAAACATATACATTTTATAACTTCTAATAATGCAGAACTTTAAGCAAAAGTACTTTGTACACGCACGCGGTTTGAAGTCATTTTTTTGAATGAAAACTGAAATCGCTTGAGAACTTTAAATTAAAACATATAAGAATGGCTAGATCATCGAAAATCGCGTTCTATTGGCCCTAAAAAAAAAGGTGAAAAATTCACAATTTAGGTATGCCAATTTAATATATTATTTTATAATCAATTTATTCTGCTGTGCTAAGATCATGAATTAAGTACATTAAATAATATACCATAATATATTAAATAAAGTTGTATCAACCGTAGAAGGTCTATGWTGAGTATGTATAATAATATAATGTACTTAATAAAATAATTAATTTTTAAAAATAATATATGACTTATATATAACACGTAATATATATAATATATTATAAGCATGCGTATGTTTCTTAGGTATTAAACCAATATGCGGTGGTATATGTGTAATACTTCGGATCGTCTCATGGGCGGATAGGACATTTTTGGTTTACAGGAATTTACAGGGATTTTACCGGAAAATTTTAAAAAGGGGCCCCACATGAAAAAAAATTTAATAATATACCTATGATATCAKATGAGCCTCATTTCCAAAATACGAAGAGGGGCCCACCGGGAAGGCGGGAAATGCCCGGTTGCCCGGTAGCCTATCATTGTAAAATTACATTCAAGTTTTAGAATTTTCACCAATTTGGATAAAAGCTATAATATTAAGTAGGTATTTTATTTACAATGATGTTTTTTTTGTCAGCCATAAACGTTTGGCGTACTTAAAATGCTCCGATTTTCAACATCAGCATTTTTTAAAGTGAATCTAGTTGGTACTTGTGAGCGGTACATTTCAAAATATTCAATAGTCGAATAAAATAAAAAAAATGGCTGAAAAAGGATATTTTTTTTACACAAAACCTTTGTATGAAAAAAAAAAAGATTTTAAATTTCCCATATTGTTTTCAACAGTTGAAAATATTTCAAATTTTTGTGAGCACTGAGCACTCAATGTGCTGACGCTGGTCACCCGAGTCCGTTACAGCTGATCCGCAGGGAAGCAGGTTAGGAAGACGCCGAAGACGTAAAGTCGCCTTATTGCTTTAATTTTGTTTTGTTGACAGGTACGTCCAGACGTGTCCACCCACCAGTCCACTTGCTTACGTTAGTGGCAGCCGGCAGGCAGCCTAGCCAACGTTGCCGGCACTCTTACAATTTTTTTTTCTCATCGGGGACACACTGACGGTACTACCACCACTATCGTCGTTTATTCCTCTTCTATTCTGTGGCGTTATTACTTGTTTTATTGTTTAGTTGTTACCCGTTTTGATTGTGTGTAGGATTTTGCTGTCTCGAACAGGCCAACTCCTGGACGCAACGCATTAGCGCTAAGGCAGTCATCGTTGTTTCACTGGTCGCGKACTTCATTTTCTCGGATTTCGCCGTGCGGTTGATTTGTACATTCCGACGCTGAACRTTGATTTCCAGTAATTTCATTCGCAAGCCTTCGATATGTCTGCAAGGTGAGTAACAACTAATATTCACGCACATGCATGGGTATTCATTTCCCGGTTTATTTTGTTTTTACCCGCGGTTTTCATTGTTTGCCTCTCGTCTCCATATTGTCGAKTCGGAGCGCGTGACTGAATCTAACCTGTGAACCCTGTTGGTTTTTGCGTAATTAAATAGCATTTAAAACCGTATACCACACACTTTCGGTCAATATGGAGACGTCGCCGCCGTGTGCCGACGCCGCCGCCGCCGCCATCATCGTCCAAATTTATGGGGGGTAGGTTACCCTAAAACGTTTTGGCCACGGGAGTTATAAATCACGAAAATCATTTCGGATATACTAAATTAATCGAAAAATCGATCAATATCTATATTATTTTACACTTGCGTAGTTGCGTGTAGCCAGTAGCGTAATTAAAAATTTTAAGCGTACGTTGCTGGCTTATTGCCGCCAACCTGTTCGCACGCGTCCGTGTCCGGCCGGTGTTCATTGCCGCCCGCTTGCGTCGGATTTCAGATTTTTAATTTATAGATGTGCATTCACGTTTTTGTCAACACTCATAGTTTGTGAGGATTGACCAATAAGTACAAGATGACCTTAGCACTCAATTTCAATTTTTTCAGATGAACGAAAAATAAATTTTTTTGAAAAACATTAATTTTTACGTTTGTCTTTCGTCGGAATGCGTTCCCTTACACCTGCTCCTATTTTAATACCCAATTATGGACAAATTTTCGTGTTCCCCATTGATAGTGTGAATGAGCTGCTATATTTTTATACACTAAATTTATATCTGAGATCTTTATTGAATGGAAATTATCAGATTCCTATAATTTTTATGAGCTTTTTTTTATTTTAAGGTGTTACCTATTCATTTCTTTTTTAAATCAATAATCTAAAGCTATGTTTTACCTTTAATTGTTTTTTTATTAATTGAACATATTTAGTATGGTTTTATATTTTTCCATGTATGAAATAGTGATTCCTAATTATTATTATTTTTTTTTTAAACAAAATGTTATTAATTAAAAATACAATTTTGATATGCCTATGAATTCAATATTTGAAATATATTTTTCGGTTATATTAGTGATTGGTATAAAGAACAAATAGTTAATATAAAAGTTATAAAGTAATAAAAAGTTACATAACATTGTTTGATGTCATCTGCACATTAAACACATTTAAAATAAGTGATATATCTATTTTTAAGTATTGCAATCAATATAATAATGTATTTTTATTGTAGAGCTAAAGAAGTTGTTGCGAACAATGGGGAATCTGGTTCTGAAGTTGAAGAACAAGAAGAGGAATATTCTGTAGAAAAAATTTTGGATAAACGTACAAGAAATAACAAGACGGAATACTTTTTGAAGTGGAACGGCTACGACGACACTGATAATACTTGGGAACCCGAAGAAAATCTTGATTGCGAAGAGTTAATTAGAGACTTTGAAGAAAAATTTAGACAAAAAGAACTCAAAGAAAAGGAACTAAAAGAAAAGGAAAAGAAAAAAAAGGAACCAGAACGTGGCCGTAAACGCACACTATCTAATTCAACTGTTACAAGCTGTGCATCATCAGATGCTGGTCCATCTAAAGAACGTAAGAAGACTTCTTCTCCTCAGCCAAAGAAAAAGGCTGAGAAGTCTGACGTGACTGAAAATAATGACAAGGCTAATGATGATGATGATGACGACAGTGTGTCTGAGGAAAAAGAAAATGATGCTTCTGAGTCTGAAGCTCCTACTAAAGAAGCAGAGAAGATTATTGGTGCAACTGATTCTAGTGGGCAATTGATGTTTTTGTTGAAGTGGAAAGGAATTGAAGAAGCTGATTTAATCTCAGCTAAGGATGCTAATATAATGTGCCCACAAATCGTCATCAAGTTCTATGAAGAAAGACTTACATGGCATGCTCCTGAAAATAAAAATGGTGTTTAATTATTTAAACTAATAAAATAAGAATAAAATTGACAAGTGTTCAAAACAATAACTTATTTTATATCAAATCCTATTGTACATGTCTTCAATTATTTTATTTTTTGATTTTATGTGGCAAATATGCTTAAAAAAAATACAAATATCAATTTATCAATTATTAATTACTTAAATGTTAGTAGCTAAATATTATTTCGTAAAATGGCGTTTTTTTCTATTTCAGAATGGTAAAATTTAATAATAGTGTTATCTATAAATTTGTTTATGTTAATAAGTAACTTATTAATTTTGAAATTTTTGTTTAAATTATAATGTAATAGTGAAAAATTTTATCTTAAAAGCAAAAACATGTTAACTTAAGTTTAGTTAGTATTTTATTTGTTCAAATGTTGGGTTTAAATATTCAATACTTGTTTTATTAAAAAAATTAAAGCATTTTTTCACCATATTTTAACTTAAATTTTATCTCATTTTTAATGATTTATTAGATCTAATAATATATTTTAAGAATTTCCATTTAAAATTGAATTTATTTTAGTATGGCCAAGAAGATGTTGGTTGAGTTTTTTTTCTTCAGATAAGTTAAACAATTTTATAAACATAAAAATAAATTTGTATAATTAATGGTTCTGTTGCCACTAGTAAAACATATTTTATTAACATAATTCAAACTTGAGGGGAATTAAAACAAATTGAGTTAAATGTACCTGAAATAAAATTTTAAAATATTTGATTTACTGAGATTCTAGACTACTAAATCTACGAAAATCGGCAGAATTTTTTTATCATCAGACCTCAAGTTTTCTCTTGAAAAATTAAATGGATAATTAAAAACCCTATGCTATGTATAAGTTGTAAAAAATCTAGGAAAATTCATGATATTCACTTAACTGAATGTAGTGTTATAATTACTAATATGCCCTATCCTAAATATTGAATAAGAAAATTATTTTTGAAGATCTTAACTTAWGTGAAAAAATGTTGTCAGTCTGTCGTTATAACTGGCAATTACAGATCAAAAAATGTTCTATACTGAATTGCCAATGATAATTCATTTTGGTATATAAAGTTTAGACTTACTACAAACAGTACAAACCCTTTGTGGTGTCAYGATCAATTACGTTTGTATTTAGTAGTTAGTGTCAAACTTTTGCAAGGGGATAATAGTTGTCAAATTTTATAGCTTTCTTAAGTTCTCACTAGATTTGTATCTAAGTTGGTTTAAGAAGCTCTATTTTATATTGAATATTACGTTAATAAATTTATCTTAAATACGTTGACTGCCATGTGGCCGCCAGCAGCCTCAAGAATATTTATCAYGGGTAYGCCRAAGACATTTTTCAGTGTCATTATAAATTATTACTTGTATATATACTTTTGAATTTGAAAAAAAAATTAAAATACAAAAAGAAATGTTAAAATTAAGTTTATTACATCACAAAAATTGTAATTATTCCCACTACGCCACAGCGTATTTTCAAGATCATTATTGTAGTGCCACAGAAAAGTTATTAATATAAATCCAAATTAATTTACAGCAGCCTGCGGCCGTATGGCCTCCTATGAATCATATGGTGCGGWAGCTGGCGGTTTAAAAATTATCAATACTTAATTATTTTTATACGGACGCCGGCGGCCGCATGGCAGTCAACGTGTTGAGCATCCCCYCCCCTCTACCTGTAGATAAGTTGCTTCAATTAATGAGTACACTAGACGATCCCCTCACAAAAACTACTCAGTATGATTTGGGGCACAAATGAATTATGCTTAAGGTATGTTTTCTCTGCARCATCCAAACACTRGCATTTGACACGGTACACTGGTCTGAGAGTCGTTGCTGTCACCAGATGCTRCATCTAATACTCCAGACGCAGCRACAAACATGCATAAGAAAACAGTCGCATTCAAAATACATAGGTTCAATGGTACATCATTTGTGCCTCGCTTACTGTGAATCACATGACTACATGCGCTDCCACTGATTAGATATTTTGTAATTGCTAAGTGTATGTAATTGAAGGATAAAACAATATTAAAAAACTACAGATCATTTATTCTTTGTAATAATATTTTTGAATTTTTTYACAAACAAAAGTAAATAATATCATGGAATGTATAGGTTAAATTTGTTAGTTAAGTTAGTAATACATGTAAATACTGTTAAATTATTATTATTTATTAGTATAMTTGTGAAATTAAGCATAATTAAATTTTAGATTATGTAAATAGTACTAGTAGGAACTTAACTAAGTAAAATACATTGAAAATAAACTGCATATTAATACTACACTTTGTTTGGCACATATCTTATACAAGTTACATAACCATTTGAAAAATAATACTTTGAGATATTTTGAGCAAAATAAAAATAAAATTGTTTTACAATAAAAATGTTTTAAGAGATCTAAGTTTGGTATACCTAAAGAAACATAGTACAGATATAACAAGAGTTTTAATTTTGGTTTACTGCGTAAGCTAACTTAGAACATTATAAAAATTAGAATAGATAACCAAGGAATATTTTTATGAGGAAGAATGAAATATAATTTTAAATATGAAAATGAAAACCATAACTGTGCGTTTAAATTATAGGTCATTTGAATTAARTCGTAAACTTAAAATTTTTTGAAATATTTTTCGAGAGAATTYAAATTTAAATACATATTAATATAACTGGTTTTTGTTAAAAAAAATAATATTAAGTGACAAACAAATATAGTTATGACACGTGGGATGTATAATAGGGTATTAATGATACATTTTTATGAAAATTGCAAACCAAACTTAATCGAGAACCTAAAAATTGGATAAAAAAATGCATAGAAGCATGTCCAATTAATCACTAAAGTTGGATTACAATCTTTTTATCACTATTTTTGATATGAAAATATTGATTAGGCTAAAAACCTCTTAAAAAAGTATATGTATTTATAATCTGGTTTGTTCATTTCTTAAGAATTCCATCTAGTGCCACTTGCCTTTTTGCGCAAATATGTCAGCACGTAGATTTTGAGCAAAGCATATGCCTAAAATCTGAAAATTAAAATAAAACAAAATTAACATATCAATTGAATTAAAAATGATTATTCTAAACATTGAACTGATACCTAATTTAAAACATTTAAAATACTTTTTTAAAAAAAAAAAAACGTGCACAGACATAATAATTTACCAATATAGCTAAATTAAAATTGTTGGAAATAACTGTTGATATATCTTATTCTTATAAATAGGACTCTGAAGTTGTAGGAGTTGCACAGTATCCAAATGCTCTTAATTTATAGTAAACCAACTTAGAAATTGAATCTGCACAATAGTGAATTTAAAGATGCATAATTTGCATTCCTTATCAGCTTTAGAGGAAAAAGCGCATATTTATTGATTTTCCACACATACTTAATATTTTTTGAAATACTTGATCTTTTTCTTTCTTAAGGTATATATTTTAATAATAATATGGAATATAAAACTATGTAAATTTACTGTTATTGTCACAGTTTACTATTAATTTAACGACAACACTGCAATGTGGTTTTAATCTTTATAGTTCTAATAACCCGATATACTATTTATTCGTGTAATTTCAAATATTTCGCATGAATTAAATAAAAATAAAGTAAAATCATTGATTAAAATGTATTATGTAAACATTTTTAGTTACATTTTTAAATTAACTGTAAAATAGTATACAAACTTCATGAAATCTATACCTTGAATAATATTTCTAATTCTTATGGGCCTGAGGTGTTATTTAGTTTAACAATTATTTTTAACTATTTTACAAAAAAAAAATTTTAAGTGCAATTATAATTATCAGTGGTATAGACTAAAATTATATTATTTAGTATATTTTTTGAGATTTAAAATATATGATGGTATTTGTAAGTCTAAGGAACTTTTAATGTAAGTATTGTGCAAACATAATACATTACGTTTTAAATTTTAATTGAGGAGCATTTTTTTTATATTTAATTTATTGATATATATTTTCAGTTATTTGAAGGATATAATGTGTAAGGCTTAGGGGTGAAACAAACAATTTCAAAATAATCCTACTCACCTTACAAAAAGCCGATATAAGGCATACAGTAGCTATAAAAAGCATATTTCTTTCTAGCCATTCTTCTCCAGATTGCAAACATCCTTTTTCATTAATGATGAGGTCCACTCGTTTTCCGACATCGTCGGTCTATGTACAATTACACACAAGCATTGGAAAAAAAAAAAATGACAAAAAATACAAAAATACTGAAAATGCAAATCAAACATGCACATAAATAATAAATACTCTATACAACCAAACATAAAGCACATGCCAAGTTAGCGAGAAATACCAAATACCTGTAATATGGTGACAGTCATAACTGTTGTTAAGACTCCAATAAAATTATCCTCAACCCACTCCTCAGCAGCCCGCATGCAACCTCTTTCATATATATTTCTTTCACCTGTTTGCGTTGGTAAATTTAAGCTTGTCCATTTTTCAGCATACTATAACCGCCATAATATGAAAGTATTAGAAGTTTTTAAATGTTAATAATTATTAAAAGCTTTTATTAGATTACACTAAATCAGAGGTTCCTAAACTTTTCATGGTACAAATCCATTATGTCATGGCAGCCCAAAGCCCCAAACCATTTGATATGTACAGAAGGGACGAAGTAATATTCGGCTGCCTATGAATAGGCCACACTGCCCGTCTCATGGATACCTCATGGCCAAAGAAGACCCACTCTCATGCCCGACGTGCGTAACACTCATAACGGTCAAGCATATATTGATAGAACGTTGACAGTTCAATGAAAGGAGCATCTAACAGGAACTACCGGAGACACTATACAAGATGCTAGTACCCACTCCCAAAATGTCCAAAAAACTTATCAATTTTGTCAACATATCAGAATGGCGTCAAATTAAATAAATTATTAGAACTAAGATAACAATGTACAAATATAAATATATTATGTAGTAAGTAGCAATCAAATAATTTAATGTAAATTCTTAAAAAAATGCTAATACCCTTGTTGATGCCCTAAGCAATTATCAAAAAAAAAAAATCCATTATGTAAAATATTTAAATGTTAAGAGTAAGCTACATCCACATGCGTTGTCTTTGTATTACAAACGTAGAACATAGCAAACTGTACTTGCGAGTAACATGAATATAATTAAAGTTATTAGCTTAAGAAAATAAATTGTAATTTATATAAATATTAAAATGTTTTTGATTTTTTGATTTAATTATTAAAAATTATTGATTTGTGCCATCAAAAATATAACTACACCATGACACAGATAAAGTTCTTATCTTAGTGTTGTGAAATTTTGATAATTTTAATAAAAATACTGAGGGAGAATAGTTGTCCCGTACAAGTAAAGTTTTTGCTATTTTCTTTGTTTGTAAAAAGGAGACAATGCATAAGGATGTAACGTCCTCTTAAACCACAACATTGGTGCATTTGTAATCATCGGGATAATGATCAATGATAAAAACATAAAACTAAATTCAAACATCAATGTACAATATAGGTACATGAAAACAATGTATCAAATACTTATATTTATACATAAAAATAATCTTAATTTATAAAAATATAAAAAAATATTTCATAACTTAACGCGACCCACTTTTTGGAACCTCTGCACTATAACATAATATATTTCAATATTTCATAAGTAGAACTTAATAAATAAAATGTGTTAGTTTTATATTTATATTAATTAAGCATATTATAAATACATACAAACATTTTTATACTTACAAATCCTTCTTTCCTCACGTCATATCCACACTGTTTGTTTTCAACTATTTCCTGAAAATAACAAATGAATTTACTTAATATATGTATGGAATTAAGAATTAAGATTAATATATTTATAAATAATAGCTTACATTTAGTTTACGTTTGCAGCAAGAAAAAGGTACTCCACATGCTTCTCGACTGCCAACTTTTTGTGAAGAGCAGTTAAAATAATTGTTCAAATCCCAATCTTCAGGACCTTTGATTCCACAACATTGTAACTGGAATAATATATAAATAGATATATTAATTGTATTTGTATATAATATATATTATAACTGTGTTAAACAATATAAGATACCCAGTCTTCCTGTATCCAGTCAATAAGATTCTGCTGATCAGGGTCTTCTCTATAATGAACAATGAATGTTTGAAGTCCTTCAGTGGCTTGTGATTTAATCTATTATTTATTAATTCATTAATAATGCTTAAATATTTACTTAATTGTTGAGTTTACTAAAAAGAAAAAAAGTTAACTTACAGAATCTTTAAAAACAAAAGTTAACACTCCAGCAGTTAACTCAAGTACCAAAATGACAGCTAAAAGAACCGCATACTAAAAAAACATAATATGTAACAAAAATGTATATTATTTTGAGTAGTTTCCTGTAGTACAAGACTATACTTTTATCACAAATAACACGGTAGTTTTGTGAAATATGAGAGCACATATAAATAAGGAAAATATTCATATGGAACCGGATTAGAAAATGATTATTCAGACTAGATTTCTTGTAGGGAAAGATATTTCAAAAGAGTGGTATAATAAAGGAAAGATATTTTTCTTAACAGAGTTAAAAAAGGAAAATATAAAACAATAAAATAATAAAGCAGACCCGTATTTTTCAGGAATAGTATAAATTATGAAGATATTGCTTAGGACTGTATAAATCGGGACAACATTTTTGAGTATATAATAGACGATCCATATCAATCCAAAATTGTATTAATAGAAAAAATAGAGCATAGCTCTGGATGAAGATGAAACCAAGAAAGTTATTCACAGGAAAATATTCATGAGTTAAAGTATTAAAAAGAAATAATATTTTTTTAAGTTCTAAGAAAAATAATATTTCTTTTTAATACTCTACCTCATGAATATTTTCCTTTGAATAACTGTCCAGTCCCATCCAGTCCTATTGTTTTATTTTTTTCTATTTTACAATTTTTGATTAGTACAGATCCACGTGTATATTATATTATTATATATATATACTCAAAAATGTTCTGATTTATTTAGTCCTGAGTGATATTTTCCTAATTTATACAATTCTTGAAAACAAAAAAATCCGCATTAATATTTTACTTTCCTTAGTTAATTCTGTTTAGAAAAGTATCATTTCGAAGATATCTTAATGCTTGAAAATATCATTCCTTTATCATATTATATCCTTGATATACAATTTTATGAAAATAAAAATTTTAGGTATTTTTTTTGTTTCATATTTTCCCGATTTACATAGCTCTCCAGAAATATCACAATCCCGTTATCAAAGACTACCAAAATTTGCCCACTTTCTTTTTATCATAGACTATCTAAATTCTATTAATATTAACAAACTATAGTTAATTCTTTGATATACATATATATATTTGTTTTATTTAATATGTAGATTAACAATTAGATATTGAGGGAATGGCCTCATTCAAATTATATAAAAATTAAATAAAGAAAAGATTTAAATATATTGTAGTAATTTTTTAAATATTTTATAAGCTGCACATGTTAAACGCCACACTTAGGATTTGGTCACTGAAAATAATAAAATAATAATACAAAGAATATTATCATTAATGCTGTTGAATATGATCAAAAACAAATAAAATAATAACTTATTTTCCAGATATTGAGGTAGGTACATTAATAGAGGTAGTCTTGTATATTAGGAAAGTGCCRTTTTAGTAGTTTTAAAAAACAGGATTGTGATTTTGTTACAAAACAAGGTAGTCTCATAACTCAGTACCTTATTTTGATAATATATGATATACATTAATTTATAAAATAATTTATTATTCTTACACTCCCAAGTAAACATGTGTTTTCACGTAATGCTCCAATGCAACCCGTGAAACCTATTATAAATGTTATTCCACCTGTAAGAATTAAAAAAAATTCTACATGATCTGAATATGTAGTATTAAATGTTTAAATTTCTTACCGATTAAAATTAAAGCAAAAGCTGGATCAAGTGCTATATGAGTGAGTTTACTGAGGTTATTAAATGCATTTTTTTCTGTCCATGCCCAAACGCCTACTGCCATCACAGATAAACCAAACATCTACAATTGTAAGGTTACAACATTAAAATAAGAGTTGAGATAAAAATTTTATTTTAAATCTTACCCAAAATAATACATTAAAACTGAATATGATGTACTTTAGGCAACAACTAACTTCACTAACTTCTTCTCTTCTATACTTCTGTTGAATAGCCATATCGACCTACTTGGACTAGATTAAGTTGATATAAAAAAAAAAAATCTACTGAAACATATAAACTAGTTAATATAATTCATATATACATAGATGGATGTGATGATTGTTTTTGATGTAATGGGTAACTTACCAAAAATAAACTGACTACTAATTGGTAGGCTACAAGACCCTTAACAGTTAAACAACAAACACTGCAAGACGATTAGGTTTAAAAATGATGAATAATTCATTTTAGTATGCATTAGTTTATATTTATTTAAATATACGATTGACTTAAGTTTTAAAAGATTTTAGGAAAAAGTTGTTAGATTCATACATAACGATTTGCTGGTTGATCACATACAAATGTAAACATTTTAAATACACTAAACACAGGAAACAATATTAAAAAAGTATTAAAAATTAAAACGTAAMTACGTAAGTCAAAAGCTTGAAACTTGAGATTTGAGACTTTTAGAGACGACTTTTTCTTAGAGATAAGTACATTGTTATTGTGATTAATGTGATTATGAGGTCGAAATCAGTGTGTTCGTGTACGAGAGTGATTATTTCATATCACAAATCTAAAAGACACGTAAGGTTGGCAAACTGGAAACTATGCGATTACCGGATTTAAGGTTTACTGATTGTGCGATTTGTAAACACGTGCTTCGCACTTAATTGCTTGTGTAGTAAGTTGTCGGTGTTGCGCGTTTAAATAATAATAATAACAACAAGTTCTATTGTATTCCCCTTGGACTAAACTACCGAATGTCTGTGAACTACTTTCAATCGCTATTAGTTGATGTTCAAATTTTGTTTTTTCTAATGTTTGACATTAATAAATAAATATAATTCGTGTTATGAAAACAATTAGAAAAAGTGACTATACAGTATATATGAATTTTACATTTTTCCAGTGATTTTATTGACAACTTGGTATTTTTTCTTTATATTACAATAATAATATAAATTAGTTACAAATTTAAGCTTTAAATATTCTATAACAATATTGATTAATATTGAGTTAAAAACTATTGCAGTGTTGAATTATCTCACATAGTTTTTATAAAATAATTAACCATATCAATGCCAACATCCAGGTGCATTATTTTTTTATACAGGTTTGGKCAAACGAATTTTCAGTGTAATTATGTGAATTYGCATACTTTAAATTCTGTGTCTTTAATCTTAATCTTCAGTTAATCAGTAAAAATTTTCACTAACTGCAACCTAATCTATTGAGATCAGATTTTATGTAYGGTTTACTGAAGTTAGTACATATTAGTTTGTACAATATGCAGTGTTGTTACATACCTACTGCATAATATATCACGATAAAAAACTATTTAAAAAAATTAAGTTTTTACCTCATATTTAGTACTATTTATAGCACATATTTTGACATTGTTAAGTGCATATTAAATCCCTAAAAAGTATCTCTAGTGTTGAAACTTCTGAGTCCTGCTCATAAGTCTTATATTTTTATAATACAAATAATGTACTTAAAATTACTATTATATTAAAATAATGTCACTGTTTTTATCATTACTGACGTTTATGTTTAAAATTATAATTTATAATATTTATTTCAGAAGTCATAGAATTAAATTCTACCAATATGTATCGTCCAAACGGTCAAACAAATTTCACACCAAATGGGCCCTATCAACAATCACAGTCATATCAAACTCCTAGACCTTTTCAGCAGCAACAATTTGGTCCAAGATTTCAATCACCTTCTCAACAGTTTACACCACCAGGATCATTTTATCAACCTTCCCAACAACATCATGATCACTCAATACCAGCGTATCAAGTTCCTGACACTACAATACCTCCACCTTTTTATCAACATGCTAACCCTAATTTTGAACAAGCAACAAAATTATCATATCAACCTCCTCTCCAAAATCAACTCCCAATTCAACATATAGAAACACCACAAATTCTTAAATATCCACCTCCATCTGCTGGTCCTCGTTTCAACCAACCACCAGTACCTCCCTATAGAATGCCTGGACAAATATATGTACCTCCTAACCAAAATTACAGGCAACCTCCCCCTGTTCAAAATTACAATAATTGTCCTCCAATGCAAAACTACAATCATCCACCWCCTATCCAAAACTTCAATCCTTCTATTACACCCCCATTTACTTCTGTCAATCAAAATTCCAATCAACCAATAGGCTCTTCATATCAGTCTCCTAGTCCTGGTTTTAGCCCAACACCTAATAATTTATATCAACCTCAAATACTTAATCCCCAAAYGTTGAAACAATCATACAAATTACAAACAGATCAAAGTTATCAACAACAGCAGTCTTCATTTAATTTGCCTAGACATGAATTCAACCAAAGGCCTTCTTTTAGGCCTTCAGGACAACAAAAATTTCTTTTTAACAAACAAAATCCAAGACATCAACAACCACAACATAATAATAGGTTTCAATTTCAACCAAGACAGCAATATCAAAATTATCGGCCTAGAGTAGGGCCTCCTCCTAGCCCCAATAATCAGATTAAAGGAAATTTTGTATCTAAAAAGGATAAAAATCAAGTAGCATGTGAATTAGGTGATTGTGATTTTGTGGGACATGCTAGTGCTGTTAAAGAACATCAAAATTTGCATCATCGATTAGGACTGCACAAGAAAGTGTTATATAGTAATAACTCAGAAGCTATTAAAAATTGGATTGAGGAAAGAAAAAAGTGAGTATTACTTTAGGCATATTATACTCTGCTGCAGGTGAGAACATTACTGTGACCCAACCAAAAATCGTCTGAATCTGCATACCTTACACCCAAATGGTTTGTTAATTTTTGGTATGTTGGCAACACTTGAAGCTATAATTTACACATATACAAACGAAACTGTTACATTACAAAGTAGTGRAAATTATGCTTTATATCGGCCGTTGCCATCAGTTTGCAAGCACAAAACCGTAATGTTTACTCCTGATGCAGAGTATACAACATATTATTTCTGTTATCTGAATTGTGACTTTAAGTTTATATTTGCAGAAAATGGCCTACTAAAGAAACCGTTCAAATAAAAGTAGATATAGAGGATGAAAAAAATAAAAGAGGAGAACGTATAGCAGATGAAGATTTCCAGAGGTTTAATAAAACTAATAAATCTAACAATTCTGGTAACTAATAAATTATCTTCTATGATAAAATAGTAAAAATGATTATTTCTAATAATATATAATGATACAACATCCTATRTTTAGGAAATAGACGGTTTAATAACAGAAAGAGACCAAGATTTAATGGTGAATTCATACAACCTGTTGAAGAACCCAYGAATGGAAACTTGAAACGTTTTGCTGGAATAGTTGGTAATTTATTTTGTATAACTATTACATTTACAATATAATTCTTAGTACAGATCTTGAATGTAGAGACTAGATGAATTACTTTTTTAACACTTCTGATTTACCTTAGGTAATTCCCTAAATTAAATTAAAATAATATTTAAATTTTAATTGATAAAATATTGTTTTTACAATATTATTTTCACATCTGAATATTGTTTGTCAAAGTTAAAATTAAGATTATACTACATTAAATTTTACTAAATTTTTTTCTTTCCTTAAAGATAAAAATATTTTTAGTTCTTAACTTTGAATTTTAGTTTCTGAGCAAGAATCAATGAATGTATTTATTATCATTATACAATGATCTGTGTTTCTTTGTCTGTCATCAATTTAAGGGCATTAAAAATGTTTGATATTTTACTTCAGCATCATAGGCTTGGTTTATTTTTTATAATAATTTGAAGTTGAAATTTTGAGAAAATTCATTAAAATTTGTGAATACTTTTGTAATTAAAAATTTCTTTAATATTCAATTTTAATAACTAAGGATTTTTTTTTTTTTTT